CCCCACCTTTCTAGCTCCGTGTAATTTCATGTATCGCGACACCTGGAGGGCCAGCAGCAGTCTTAAAAGATAAATGGACCTTCCCTGGGGCCGGGCCTTGTACCGCGGCGCTCTCGCGGAGACACACGGGGACACCGGAAAAAAGAAAATAAACGACGGGCGGAACAGTGCGAAGGGTTGTCGTGATGACAGAGCGACGCTCCTGCTTTCCCTCCGCATAAATGGACTCCAGCGTACAACAGACGTGGGCTGTGGCTGACTACCTCGCGGGTTATTCCAGCGCGGAGGCACACTGCCCCGGGAGCCACGCCACGCCCCCTCAACCAGCAGGCGATAGAGGCGCGCGCATAAGACTCCCAGGACAATGGGGAACAGGAAAGGGCCATAGAGATGGGCAAGCTTGCTGGAGCGAGACGGCGGCGTCCGCAAGAGCTTTCGTCACTCAGAAAATGAAAAGTAGGGCATCGCACTTTTCTAGGGATGTTAAAAGCATTCATGTGGTGCGATGTCTCGCCACCTACAGTTTGCCAGGGAGGAGTCACCGCTAGCGCGACGCAGCGCTGCTGGCATCTTGGCCGATAATAAGGCCATACTCGTCACTCTCAGCCCCCTCCACCCCCAACCCAGCCCTTCAAGGAGATGATCAGGGCGGCCCGCGGCTGATGCCCGCGTTGAGTCTCATCAGGTGGCTTTGATGAGTGACTGCGCAGCTAACAGCCCCGCTGGCAGGCTTCTCTCTCCCCCTCCCCCTCCACCTCCTCCGTCACCGTCCCATTGGTCCACAGTAATGAAATGTGCGATTCGCCCGCCTGATCGCCCTTTCCGCCTCCTTTTCACTAATCTGATGCTTCCTTTTGGGAGGTTCCTTTGCTATTTCTTTTCCTCCCGTTTTTATGGGGGGTCCTCCTTAGTTTTGCTGCTGCTGACTCTCTTTCACCTTGCCTGCTCCCCTACCCGCGCAGCAGAACGAAGATAAACTAAAACGCGAGGGAGGTCGAGGGATGAGAATTTCGTCTGGACGACATATGGAGGCCCGGGCGGCCCGGCGGGACCCGCCGCTGCACGACACCCTCTGCATTATGGACGCAATGGTCAGCAGTCGTGCCGGCCCACGTGAGTACAGAGAGAGAGAGAGAGAGAGAGAGAGAGAGAGAGAGAGAGAGAGAGAGAGAGAGAGAGAGAGAACAAGGGAGAGAGTCTAAGGGCTGGTGCGCTTCCTGTCTCACTCTCTCCAAGAGAGAGTGGTCGTCTTGGAGACAGCCTCGCAATGGCCTTGTAATGTCTCGGCAGTAGGGTCGCACTACACCACCTCTCCCCCACGCAGGCGTACAGCACACGGGGGGAAGGCACGAGACATACGTTAAGCAAGCGCACGGCAGCAGCAAAAAACATTTGCCCATACTGCACTTTGTTTTAAAATTCCCAAAATACAAGAAAAAAATATGTAAACAAGTGTCTTTTACCTCTAACGACGAGTTTGGCGGGAGGCGAGGTCAGGGCGTCTCCGGTGGTGAACTCGGACGCCGTGACCTGGCACTCCCACAGGCCGTCGTCGAAGTTGAGCGTCGCGTTGCGGATCCATATGCTGCAGTCACCCTGCTCCTGGCTGCCGGCCCACTCGTACTTCTTGGGGTACATGCCCACGGGCTGCAAGAAAAAATTACAGTAATTAGGGATGAGCAATATTAGTTACACCCTAAACAATTGTTAAACAAAAAACATAATAAAAACATAAGAACAACAACAGCAATAAAACAGAGAGAGGTGATTTTCAATGCTTGTTCTTTGGAAAGAGCTGCTGATCTGATCTCCACATCTCATCTTTACAATAAAATTTCGC